TTTTTTTCTGTATTTTTGATCAAATAAATGCAGCCTTGATGAGCAGAAGAGACTTCTTTAAAAAACATTACAAGTCTTACTGATCCCATACTTTTGAACGGCAGTGTGTATATATATATATATATATATATATATGAAGAGTTTGGTTCCAAATCGCGATAAACGCCATTTAAAAAAAAATTTGAGTTTCCGCCAAAATCAGTATTGTATCTGGTCGGTATTGAAAAGTCAATTTTAAATTGTACGCAAGATGCAATATCCGCCGAGTTATTCTGTCATGTTTTCTCCCTTTTTTTCCAAACCGCGACAAATGCTAGTCTCCCTTCTCTGCAGAATGCGATATATCCGCTCAACCAATCACAGCGCACCATTCCACGCGTCGTAAACCGTAACTGACAAGCTACACAATATCACATTCATAATCGCCGATGAATCACCTTTGATTATGAACGTGATATTGCGTAGCTCGTCAGTGAACTACGGCTCTGTGGAGTAAATGCTGCTCCATCTGAAAGCACGTGATGGAGATTTACTACTAATCACAGAACCGGCTTTACTGACGAAGATGCGCATGACTATCACATGCGGTTTATCATGCAGCCCTAAAGAAAATTAATAATTTATTTATTATTACTTATTTTTCTATTATATTTTAATTATATTTTTGATGTATAAAAACAATTATATGCTGAATGATATACAATAACAATTATAATTTGAGGAAAATGTCATGGAAAAATGTGTAAAATCTGCATAAATGCTTACTTTTTGTTGAAAAGTAATGAAATGTATAAATATATTTAATTTCACACACACACACACACACACACATACAGTAGAAATATAAGAAATGCTAAGAAATGTATACGTAATTATATTTTTGCCAAATATTATAAATAATATTTCTATTACATATACATTCTCTTCTCGACAGCAGCTGTAGATGTTTTTGAGCCCGGTCTGAGCTCATGCAGCTGACATGCCAGTTTGCTCAATGCAGGAGCTAATCATGGTGCCCAGCAACCCCGTTACCCTTCCCAAATCTAGCTGTGCATTTTGGTAGAAATCAACTGAGATGCACATCTATTTAATATTCTATAGCTGCAGCTTACTTGCTAGACCAGATACA